AAAAAAAAAAAAAAAAAAATAATAAAGAAAGAAAAAAAAAAAAAAAAATTAAAACATAATAAGATACAAATACTACTACCTACCCTACCCCCTACCCCCTCCCCCACCCCCCCTCCCCTTGCTCGCTCCACAGCAACACGAGCAAGAATCAATCAATCGGTAACAGACAGCCATGTGCACGTTCGCATCACGATCTTCTCGCGCCCCTCTCGTCCTCACTGCAAGTACCTTCCTCAGAGCCCTAGAGCTCCGCAAGTCGATCAGATGAAAGCAAGCCTGCCCAAACCCTCACTGCCAACGCGGGTGCGGCTCCCCTCACGTCTTCCGTCATGATCGCGTACAAGTTGGAATCGCTCGCACATCCGGCTCCACCCGTCACCTGCATGCTCCGAGCTCAGCGACGCGAGCGTTTGGATTGCCAACCACAGAGGGTCGCACCTTGGCATCGAAAGTGATGGACGCCCGTTGACCCTCGAGACACTCCTTGCTGTGCGGGTCCAAGAGGAGCATCTGAACATGCGAGTCACTGATAGGATAGAGACAACACATGCTTTACCTGTGAAGTCACCGTCCTCTGTCCGCTGTCTGTTCCAACAGCTCTCAGGGCCCGAGGTTTGCGGGGCAGCCAATCGACCGACAGCAGGTGCTCCGAGGACAGGCAGCTTACACGCTCAACCTTGGCCGACAACTTCACAGGTCTAGCAAGTCGCTCAGGTCACAAGATCACCTGATGGTCGTGCGTCGGGAAACACATGTGAACGGAGTTTGAAGAAGTCAGTGCGATCAAGTCTTCGTCCATGTTGGCTGATGCTGTGTCGACGGACAGAGGGAGTTTTACGCGCATGGCAGCGACTTCCCCACGCGTTATGCGGGTGTCGACGAGGAGGAGGTGCGGTGATTCCATGCACAGGAGGAGACGACCTCCTGCCAGGCATGCCGAACGAACTTCGTCGAGGCTCTCCCGTTGGATCTGAAAGCTGCGATATGCAGCCTCGGAGGCTGCATTGAGCAACTCGACATGACCATCCTTGTGTAAGATGCTGCACAACAATCAAGTAAGGAACGAGTCTACTCAAACAGACAGAGAGCGAGTTCTTCCTACATTGTTCTGCCCCGGTCGTCAACAAAGACGCGCTGCCCCTGTTCCTGCGTTGAATTCGATGATCTTCTCCTGTTGCTGCTCGATGTCCGATACTCCTCGTCCCTTGTTCTTCGTGTTCTCTCTACCCCGTCCCCCCACTCCTCCTCCTCCGTCGCCCCCAACGCCGCTCGTCGCAGTCTCTTGACCCACAGCATTGCGACGACTCAAGCAGTCCCTCATCCCCTCCTTGTCCCTTATCCGGGCCCGCCCCGCGGCCGGCAGGTCTAACACAGTACTGACCCGGGCCGCCGACCGGGCCCCCTTCAAGTTCGCCAGCCGCGATTCCGGGAGGGCCCGGGCCGCGGGCGGGCTGCTACCTCCGAACAAGCTTCTGATACAAAGTGAAGTCGATCTTCAAATCAGCGCCGCATGAAAGTGATTTAGAGCATCAAATGCTCTCTTGAGCTCCGATGAAGAGCATCCTGAAGAATTCAAGATCTCAAGCTCTAGCTCCGATGATCGTTATCCTGAAGATTTTTTGTGCTGGCGGAACGACATCCTGGATGGCGTTCCGAAGTTGAGCGTGTTGTTAGCACGCAGGTTCGGCTGAGGGCTTTGTAGTTCATCCCACCTTGGATAGAATGCAAAAACATTTCTTGATCGATTTTCCCCTGATCGATTTTCCCTCGATCGATCATTACTTGGACGCTGCGTGTGACTTGGGGAATCCCTTCTAGAAGCAGGTTGTAGAAGCAGCTCCATTTCATCATATGGAGGTGCTCGTTGGTTTCATTTCATTTGCAGCCACCCAAACTCTGAACTCCAAGTTCAGTTTCTTGTCACTTCTAGGTGTGCTGCCCTTCCTTTAGTTCCTGAACATGGTCAAAGTGATGCTGACAAGTTTCGAGCAGAATAGATGATACAATACAGGTATTCAGTCAAACAATCCATCTAGAATTTTCGAATTCCTCATTAAAAATGTCATCGATTCCATTTGAATTTCATTACAAGTCAGTCTCTACAATTTATGTTGTATTCATGATGTTGGGGTCCTGTATCACGATTAGGAGATAGTCCTTATCAGGTGCTACCATGATTTCATGCTTTTTCGATCGCACTCGGAGAAACGTCAGGTCGTTCTGCGATCAAGTCAGTTTTCGAGTGGCTCAATGACTGGTTGTCATCCATCAACAGGGGATCGTTGGGAAGTACAGCAAGGGAAATTAGCAAGGACGCGCATCTAGGATCAGCTACAGGGCACATGGACCATCCAAGTGGGCCCAAGGGTCCCTCGCGTCTCCTCACAGCGACAGAATACCTGCGGGTCGAGTTCTCGGACAGCACTCCTTGCCTTGCTTGAAAGCTGGGTGATCAAACTCGCGTACTGCACAGTGACGGACTGGTCGAAGGTTGATCTGATGGGAATGCCGTCCTGGTTCACGATCACCACCCCCTGCACCCCCTTGTGCCCCTGAAGCCGCCGCAGCGTCTCCTCCACCTCATTCATTGCTCTCAACGCTTGTCTACCACCCCCACCCCCACATTACAGTGCAGTTGGAACCCCCGACTTCTACCACCCCCACCAACAGTTTTATCGATAACTGTACCGGTATGAGAAAACGGTTATATGTTAACGGTCGGCAGAAGTAAAAGAAGATACTACCAGAAGAGCTACCGGAGTCCATAATGGGAGCGACAAAGCAGCAGCGTGAGGCAGTCAGACATGCCGACTAGACAGGGAGAGGGAGAGGAACTTCGGAGGGAGAGGGAAAGGGGTGGGGGGAGAGGGAGGAAGGGGGAGGCACGGAACCAGAGGAGGGAGAGGAGAGAGCGGAGAAGAGGAAAGAGATCGAGCAGAGACATAGTAGGATAGAAGCGAAGATTAGGGCATACACCTAAGTTAGACGCGACGCATGTTCAGTTAGGCCGATATACGACTCGGAGACAAGCCTTGGAGGAAAGGAAGGAGCGAGGGAGCGAAAGCAGAAGAAGTCGCAAGATTGAATTGAACTTGTCGAGTTCTTCAGAATGTCAAGTACTTTGTTGGGCAACTTTTGCCTTCTCCTTGCATCCCATGATAAATCCTTCAGAGTGTGCAATCATGCACAAGGTTTGAAGAAAATACGTTCAGTCAGATAGAATGAATTCAGGTAGTGCGAGAAAGGCATCTCGCCAGAGAGGAGGAAACTGCAAAGTGGAAGAAAGAAGACAAGGAGGTATAAGAACAGAGCGAGCAGCAGGCGGAAATTTAGAAAATCAGTGACTTCAACCCGTGAGTGTCACAACGATGAATGGAAAAACCGAGATAGAGAGACAGAGGGACAGAGAGATAGAGAGAAAGGAAAAGAAACACAGTGAGGGAGTGAGACAGAACGAAGCAGAGAGAGGGAGGAAAGGGAAGAGACAAATCAGATTCACGTCTGATGTCACCTGAGCAGCATTCCTTACGCACCGAGCGCGATGATATCAAGACGGGCGATCAACTTCGACATCGCGGACGAGGAGGACTACGTCGAAGAGATGTTGTTTCTGCTGCTGTTGCTCCAGCGTTCGTTCCCTCTTACATCGTGATGCAGAAGAGACGAGTCGCTCAAGACTGGGGAGCAGGCACCTGGTGAGCAGCCCCTGACGGCTCGTCTGTCTCCGAACAGCTTCTCACCCTCCGTTTCTTGCCAGCGTACCAGCGGGTTTATCCTAACGGGTCCATCGAGAGCAACGACTTCGAGCAGAGGTCCGAGAAGAGCGCGTCGGTGAGCCGTCTTATGGCGAGCGATTGAGGCTGCTGACGAGATCGTACAAGATGAGCGAGAAGTCTGTGGAGTATGAAGGAGAGAAGGCGATGGATGGCAAGGACAAGAGCAAGGTAGAGTGCGTGGTACAGTGAGGCGCTGGCTAGAAGATGCTGAAGGAAGGAGGTAGCGAATAAAGTTAGAACGTACGATGCTCTCTCTCTCTCTCTCAGCCATGCAAGTTGTGTGCATGGAACATGGAGCTGATGGTTTCATTGTTGTCTAGTGACCCTCGTAGCCTACCTTAGCTCATCTGCTTTCATTTCACCTGCTCTCATTGAAAAACTTCAACTTTACCTCCACCTCCTTCCCCTCTTTCCCCTCCTCCTCCTCCTCCTCCTCCTCCTTCCCCTCCTCTGCCGCCTCATCTCTCATCGTCGTCCCCTTCAGTAACTTCTTCTTCTCTTGACCCCGCCCATGCCTGCTGTACTCGCCTCTCTCCTCCCGACAGGCCTATCCATTTTATTTTCGTGTTTTCTTTCTTTATATTTACTGTTTTCGGTATTTTTTTCCTGCCATCAAATTTGACGCGGTTGCAACGGCCATCAACCCGACGACCTCCATGGAGACGTTGCGGGAGGCTGGCAGGGGAGCCGACCAGAAGAGGAGGAGGAGCCTGCGAGAGAGATGAAGAAGGCGAGGGACATGGACTCGCTGCATGACGAGACGCCTCGGGCGGCCGCGCACTTGACCCAGCATGAAGGGGTCCATGCGTCGCTCGAGACCGGCTGGGGAGGCGATGAGAGCGTGACGAGCACGAGGAGGATACACAGCATGGTGGAGGCGAGGGACTACAACAGGAGGGTGAAGCTGCAGATACAGAAGGAGCGAGCGGAGGAAGCCCTGCATGTGACGGCAGTCAAGATTCAATCCATGTGGCGAATGTTCTCGTGCTACAAGAGCTTGCTGCTGGCCAAGGTGAGGAAGCGGCGGGAAGAGAAGCGCGCACGAGCTTGCACCATGATACAGAAGGTCTTCCGCGGGCATCAGGCGCGCAACAACGTCGGGCTGGGGGTCATCATCGAGTTCAGGAAGAAGCAAAACAGTGCTGCTGCCCTCGTGCAGTCCGTGTTCCGTGGGCACGTTGCAAGGATGTACGCTGACGTCCTCCGGCAGCGTCGAGACTCGGACCTGGACCTTGCTCGGTCCAAGAGGGCGCAGGCGCTCATTCGAGGGGCAAGGACGAGGAGCCGCGTGTGGATGGTGTGGAACTTCCTGCGGCACAAGGTGAGCACGATCGAGAGGTTCTGCAAGCAGCGGTTCCAGCCATGGCAGCGCGAGCAGGTGGAGCTGCTGAACGACAACCTGAACAAGGTGGTGAGGATACAGGCGCTGGCGAGGAGGTACCTGGCGTACAAGAGGGCAAGGGAGATGAGGAGCGCAAAGAGACACTTCCTTGCTGTGGGGCAGGGGATGGTGTTGTTCTTGGTCATGATGACCCTCCTCCTCTCCTTCACCATCAACGAGCGATCCAACGGAGCCTTCAGTGACTTCTCCTCGGCCCTCGTCCGCAGCTTCACCGGTAGCTCCCCCCAGCAGCTCAGCCTTCCTCTTGCTGCAGTCCGCAACCCCGCGGGGCTGTGGAGGTGGTTGAACAGAACCCTCCTGGTCTGCAGCTTCCTGGAACGAACTCGGTCGTGTGACGTCCAAGTCAGGAACGAGAGGAACTGCACAAGCAGCCTGAGCTTCGAGCACGCGATCCCAGCCATCATCGTGTCCTCCGTGGCTGCGGGGCAGAAGCGATCCAAACGTTACCGACATGGCACCTGGCCGCTGTCAGGCAACACGACGGCCATGGTGAGCAGCTCGCCGTACAGCGCAAGCAACAGCGACAAGTCAAAGTACGGGAGCGTATACCTCCCCTTCCAGTTCGACCCTGCCGCCTCCTTCGGGGCCTTACAAGGCTTTTTGTCACAGTACCATAGCGGCTTCTTCCAGCTCGACGATCCTCTCCTGGGCAACTCGTCATTCCTTGACTGCGGAGTGCCGCTCGTTGGAGGGATCTGCCGCTACCAGACGGGGAGGTGGCTGGACTCCAGCACACGAGCTCTCGTCCTCGGCTTCGCCGTGGCGAGCCCCAGCATGAACGCGCTGATGACCGTGCGGCTCCTGGTGGAGATGGACGTAGGAGGAGGCATCATGCCCTCCCTTCATACCTCATCCAGCCGCCTGCAGGTGAGAGCACCAGCACGTCCTCTCCCTTCCTTGTCACCTCACTGCCCTGCAGGTCTATGGAGGCAGCCCGAAGCCCTGGGACGGAGCGTGGGACGTGGGGGTGAGGATATTCCCGGAGATCTTGTTCCTGCTCTTTGGAGCATGTTACGTTGTCTCCATCCTCCTCCGCTCCTGCTTCTTCATCTCCTTCAGGCCCGGGTCTTTCTTCTCCATCGACAAGTTGGAGATCCGCCGCCCCAGGGATTCGCTGAGGATCTTGAGCTTGCAGCCGTTGAAGAGCCTCGACAACTTCCTCACGTTCCTCCTCTTCCTTGCAACATTCCTCTGGCTGCTGCTGCAACTCGCCGCTCAGGTCATGAGCTCGCAGATCGTTGCCGGGACGCGGAGCTGGTCGACCAGCACTGTTGTTGGAGTGGCAGACTTTGCCTTCGCCCAGGGTCTTGTGAACCTTCACGGCTGGGGAGATGCAATGATCGCCATAGTCGCTATGCTCATGTGGCACAGGCTTCTCTTCTCCTACATCTCCACCATCCGACGGTTCCGCACCAGCATCCTCTCTGTCCGCCGCCTTGTCGTCCCTCTCGCTGCTCTGCTGATCACTGGCGGGGCCATGACCCTGGGACTGGCACACGTCGCGCACTTGTCCTTCGGTCGCAACATTAAGGGATTCGAGACCATCGACTCCTGCTTGCTCCGCTTGGTGCAGACGCTGGTGGCTGTGATGGAGGAGGACGAGCCCGGCAGGATGCCTGCTGCGGTCGGAGGATACGGCAGGACCAGCAGTCTGGCACAGGGACAGAGCGGAGTCTTCATGGCCGTCGTCTTCCTGCTTGCCCTCTGCTTCCTTGGAGTGACCTGCGCCGTCGTCATCGTTGCGTACACGGAGGAAGAGGAGATGACGACGGGGATACGTAACTTTAACTTGAGGGAAGGAGGAAGTGTCCGGTGACTGGCTTGTGCAGTGAACCGTCCTTGGCTCTATGAGGGCACGATCCGCACAGCCATCTACTCCGACTGGGAGCTTCCTCCTCTGAGTGAAGTGAGGCATGCGGTGGTGGAGGCCTTCAGGAGCAGAGTGGAGGAGCAAGTGCAGCTGAAGAAGGTGAGCAAACATCCTCCCCTGCAGTGCACGGCGCTCCCCTCACACTCGCGATGCTCCAGGCGGCGATCCAAGCTCGCGTCCTCTCGCACATCCGAGCAGATTCGCTGCGAGTGGCGGACGTGGTGAGAGGAGGAAGGGAGATAGTCGTTCCTGCATGGAAGCTGATCTGTGTCGTCAGAACTCGTTCAAGTGGGCTCTGGAGGTCGACAAGACAAAGGATCTTGATCGCAAGACCGCCAAGGTCGGCGGTCACCTTCACCTCCTGAGTGCTGACGACTACCAATGGCAGTATTTGATGAAAACCTCAAGAGTTCTGGCGCATCAGACAAGAGATTACGACAGACGCATCAATCAGATGGAGTCTCTCTTCTTGCTGACCAGCTTTCGCCTCCACGAGCTGATTGAGCACTTCGTCAAGCTTGTGAGTATCGACCTGCCATGCACTGCCCACCTTGTGAGATGCTTGAGAGCAGGACTTTCCTCGTCGCAGATTTCATTGGCCGCAGGCAAGGTTGTCAAGTGATGAGATAGACAAAGCCAAACGGTACGAAGAACCATTCTGAAAGGGTCTTAAAGTTCTAAGGTGTCCTCTGATGTGTTGGCAGTTTGTTACAAAGGCAAACAGAAGAAAAAGGAAAGAAGATGATTAAAATTCCATCAAAGATGCTAGGCGCTATTGAAAAACAATGTGATACTTTGAAGAAGGTACACACGAAAACGGGTGCTTGTGACTTACACGATTTGTTCAGGTCATGCACGAAATAAATGGGATGGTAAAAGATACAAACTCAGAAGAAACAGAAACCCCGAGGTCTGATGCAGTAGGATAAGCAGCGAAAGGAGAGCCATGACGTCTATCGTATGCACAAACAATTTTGTGTACAGAAAGAGAAAACGAAGATGGTTCAGCGATCTTCACATTTATTCGAAGGAACCGAGCTAACCATATCTGCATCTACATGACCTCAGATATAGTCGTCGAAGGAGCTTCGGGTGCTTTGTCAGCTGCGGGAGCAGCAGGAAGAGGGTCAGCACGCTTTTCAGACTGCTTGGAAGGCATGAAACGAGAACCATAGGGCACCCTCAACATCATGCACTCCTGTGACAAGCGAGTCAGTTTGAACATGGAACAGCCACGTCATCACCTGATGGGTCAGAAGCCTGCCCTCGTTCTGGGATCGTGTAACGCTGGATGGCTGGGGTCTGCTGGACAAGGTGTTGGCGGATGCAGTAGAAGTGACAGAGTTTGAGTTGGCTGCTGGTTTCTTCGAGCTCGCAGCAGGTTGACTTGTGGGCTTCGACACCAATGGTGTGGGCTTGGATGCTGTCTGCGTTGGCTTAGGGGCCGCGGGAGCAGGTTTCGCTGCCGCGGGAGCAGGTTTCGCTGCAGCGGGAGCAGGCTTAGGGGCCGCGGGAGCAGGTTTCGCTGGAGCTGTTTGAGTCTTGGCTGGAGGCTTCGCTGTGGTTGTGGGTTGATGTTGCGAAGAGCTCTTGCCCACAGTCCATACGGATCCGAATGGTACTCCGTACATCTGACATTCGGCAGGGCTCAACTGCCTTGTCGTCTCCTTCTTTTCATCGGCCTGAGTGTTGAGGGAAGCTCCTGATGTCTGTTGAAAGGACGATCAAACCACTAGAAGCTAGCCGGGAACAGACTTGCTCGCACTCACCTCGATAGATTTCTGGGTGATCTTGTTTGCTTCTACAGCAGAGACGTCTCGTGTAAGCTCAGCCGTGTGGGTGGACGTGCTTCCATCCTCGCCCACTCTCTTGGTCGTGATGGTGACCATCGATCCGTTAGGCCCTGCACGATGTTCAGTCATGCTCCACTTTTCTCTTCAGTTAGTTACCAGCCAACGGTTTGTATGCCTCAGTCGCAGGCAAACCTTCGATTGATGTCTCATCAATCTTGACGATGACATCTCCAATGGCGAGCACGGTTCCAGCTGCTGAAGTATTCTCCTTGATGTCTGTGATGATCAACTCGCCATCTTTCCCGGGCCAGAGCATCAGGCCAACAGTGCTCTTCTCTTCATCCAAAGAGGGAACCTGTACAGTTATACTATCAGGCAGAGTGCGGAGATTTAAAGGAATGTTAAGAGTACTATCGACCTGCGTTTTCACCGATGGAGCAACAGGGGTAGACGCGTACAAGGAAGTGCCGGTCCCAGGAGTATACCATGTATTCGAAGTAGGCAAGTTCGGAATGGACGCATAGATTGACGTAGCTGCAGGGGCTGCCGAGGTAGACATTAGCATGCAGGTTTCGAACTCCTCCACCAACCATTCTGCTTCTTCGCGGCAGTCGTCCCACCCTTTGCTGGAACTGTGCGCCCTGGAAAGAATCAGGCTCGTGAAGATTCGCGGCAACGTTATCACCTGGCATGTACATGGGCTGGCCCATAGGTGGCTGTACATAATTTAGCTATAGACATTGAAATGCAATGGAGCAACCTGCCCGTACGAAGGGATAGGAGCAGGATAAAACTGCATTCCTCCCGCTCCATAGCCATAACTCATATAGACCGCCATGGATGCTAGCCTGGGATCCTACGAATTCCTGCAATCAGTGTGAGTACATACCCAAACGTGATCTCGAACTGCAAATTCACTTGATCATCCACCAATCTACACTCTATCTAGGACTTCACGCGCTGAATCAATCTATCAGCATTCAGATTCAATGCATTCTGATGGAAAGTTTGACAACTTGGCTGTCAAAACACAATTGAAATTGTCTAACTGTTTGCAAATCGTTCCAAGCTAATTTACGATCTGAAATCCTCGCAACGCTTGCGCGGATCATGGAACAGGACAGTCAAGATTCGACTGATCCTGAAAGTTCGGGAATTCCTAAGAATTTCTAGCACAAACCATTATACTGTCCACAGTTTCATCAATGATCTTGTCATCATATGGTCTTACAACTGTGTTGTCAACACCAACTCCTCTCAGTTGATCCAACATGTCGGAATCGCGCGTTCTTTCTGTCTCACATCATCACATCTCAACCTTGCAAGGGAATAAGAGTCTGTAAGCGCATTGCCCTCAGTCCTCAAACGCTCCTGCTCTCTGCTCCCAGCTCTTTCAGCGCCCTTCATCCTACTTCGAAGCCATGAGTGGCGGCGGACTGCGAAGGAACCCCTACCCAGGGGTCCCCAGAGTGAAATGAGGGGTGGGATGACCAGAGATGTATGGGGTGGTAGGGGTGGTGGGTAGTATTGAGAGGAGCCGTAGGGGTTCCAAGGGTACAGTCATAAATCCTGAAAACGAAAGTTAAAATGGAGGATCTTGTGAAAATGCAGGAAATTACTGTTGAATATTTGAAATTTTTCCAAGAATGTTTGAGTATTCGAGGGAAGATTCCATCGGCTTGCCAAGGCTGCACCTCATCGCTGGTCAACAAGAGTAGAGATGGGCTGCGGGTGGGGGGGGGTGGTACAAAGTTGAGGAGGGAGGGGCAAAGGAGTGTTGCTGCGAGGGGTGGAGGGTACGACCGAAAGTAGAATGGAGGGGTAGTGGTAGTGGAAGGGGGGGTGAAAAGGAGCTTGGAAGTACTTGCCAGAGCGTATCAGGGTGGGTCCTTCTGAGAGGAGTGACGGTTACGGGTGTAGTAGGGGAGGAAGGGAGAAGGAGGGGTCATCATTCGATTAGAAGGGGGTGAGGGGGGCAGAACTCCGACGTCCGGTAGCAACCAGAAGGTTGCCACGACGGGGGGGTCCTCGGTGAGTCACCGCAGGCCGACGTAATGAGACCGGGGGTACTACCGGTTGTACTCCGGCCCCCCCGGGGCAACTGCCAAAGTCGACCGTCTGAACTTCAGCCCTGTCACGGGTCCTCAGCAGACGGTCCGTTCTAGTCCCCCTCTGGCAACCTCCTTCGCCTTCAGTGACCGGGTGGACCCTCCGGCCGAGTGATTGGCCACGGATCGGACCGTGCACGGTGCCGGGCCCAGTGTAACCTTCCAAAGAGTTGAACAGACCGTACACTGCGGACTGAAAAACTTTACTCAAAGTTAAGTTAAAAATAAATTTTATATACGGGCGGCCCGGGGGTCAAGTCACCGAGTGTACGGTCGGAATTTACTAAGTCAAGTTACTTCAACCGCTCCGAGATCAGCCCCGGTGACTCCGTACTCAGGGCCGTACTGAGAGTCGGACACGGGCCCGGCCGGCGGCGGCGGGCGGCCCGGCCCGATCGGACCGGCCCCGCCGGTAGTGGACCGGGTTCCGAACGTCAATGATAGCCCGGGGACTGGGAACAGCCTCCGGCCCGCTCAGCGGCTGCTGACATATCCCGAAGTTCCTACTCCGAGCGGCCCACGTGACGAGGCCCGGCGGCCGCGCGGTCCGAGTCCGACTCCGGGTCCGATCGAGTCGGTAAGGCTCGGCCCGGACTATATCCTGTGACACTCAATGTTTCTACCTTGACCCTTTTAGGTCACTCACCCCCCTGATATTTCACCCCTTGTATTCCCCTCGGAACACAGGGATATAGCTGGTAGGGGTGGTGCTCCACGGGGGTCGGGTATATATTTAGTCTCAGCCCTTAGAGGGGCATTTACAGGGAGGGTGCGGACAGCCAGTATGCGTACGCGGGCTCCGGAGAATGACGAGGTATGAGGAGGAGGAGAGGACAAGGAGAGGAGGAGAAGATAGGAGAAAAGGAATAAGGGGAAAAGAAAGAACTGAGGGGAGAGAAGAGTTCAGATGTTGGGAATCAGCAGGAAAGTTGAGGAGGAAGAGCAGTAAAATTGCAGCTAGCAGCCGAGCCGAGCAGACACGAACAGTACAGTGCGATGAAGAGGATATGTCGTTTCAAAGTTAGAGAAGAAGATGGAATGAGAACTTTAGTGCAGAACGAGCTGACAAAAGGAATGGAAACTGCGATGAGGTTGAAAGAGCTGAAAAACGAACGGAAGCATCGGTTCAGGAAGTCGTAAAATGCTTGTGAATTCTGCCAGTATGTTGTTGGAGGTGAAGAGATGGACATCGAGAAAAAGGAGCTGCAGCAATGCTAATGATGTCGGATGCCCTGGTTGCAGGACTACAATGACGGCGGAGCATATCCTGAATTTCATGTCGACCAATATCCTTATGGCATCGGTCGTCCGATGCCCCTGGTAAACATGGGCAGCACGGTGGGCGGCTATGAGATCACTGGATGTTTTTTCAGGTTCCTCTCACCTTCATCTGTGGGTTTCTTGGCTCGGGCAAGACAACCATGCTAAAGCATGTGGTAATGTTCGAAAACCTGTGCCCATGATCAGCTCTGTGATGGTTGTCTGTGCTATCAGCTCGAAAACCAGGAGGGAAAGCGTGTGGGAGTTATTGTGAACGACGTGGCGGAAGTCAACATCGATGCCAAGCTGATTTCGAAGAAGCAAATGAGTGATGAGGACGAGACCTACTCCGACACGGTCGAGCTTGAGAACGGCTGCGCGTGCTGTACGGCAGGGGGAGGTGTGTCTTGGCAGAAGCTAAAGGATGGGGATTGAATGTCTCTTCAGATCTGATGGACAGCATCCTGAAACTCATAAGGTTGTCGATTCGTCGTGAGATCAGGTCTGTTCCTGCATCTCTCTATATTCCTCCTTTGCGATCTCCTGCCTTGGCTCCTTTTGGCCCCCCTATGCTGAATTCTGGTCGTCAGCTACGACAGGATTGTCGTTGAGATGAGTGGAGTTTCTGAACCCAAGAATCTGAGAGAGGAGTTCTTAGAAGCACAAGATGCGCACCAGGTCAGTTAGAGCCTCCTCCTCCTCCCCTCTCAGACCCAGCTTCTACTTCAGCTTGGCCAAAGTTCATCCTTGTTGTCATTGATGCCACTGTCTTTCTCCTGATTCCCTGGCTCCTGCTACTGTCCCATCTTTGTTGCTGATGCTGGTTGTGGTACAGGTGTTCAAGTACGTCGAGCTGCAGACGATGCTGACAGTCGTCGACGCCTCTCACTTCCTTGAGCTTTACATCTCCAAGGAGGTGCTCGACGATGCCTCAGGCACGGCCGCTGATCCTGTTCCACCAGGATATCCAGCAGAGGCCCGAGCTTGTGATGAAGAACGACCCCAGTGGAGAACAGCACATCGACAGCACGAGGAGGATTGTGGACCTGCTGGTTGAGATGGTGCGTGACCTGCAACGGCCTTGACCCGTCGACCTGATGTTCGCTGCGTCCTCTTCCCTCCTGCCTCTCCCGTCTCTGGCAGATCGAGTGCGCGGACTTCCTGATCCTGAACAAGTGCGACCGAGTCTCGTCGAGCCGCATGGAGAATGTGAAGAGCGCCGTGAGGAGGAGAGGAGGCTAAGTTGGTGAACCCTGCTGCAGCTGTCGGAGATCGTCTCCAACTTCAACCCGACCGCCTCCGTCGTCACCTGCTCGTGGGGCAAGGTGAGTTCGGAAGCAACCATGTAGGATGTGACAGGATTCGCCATGGCAGGTCCCTTTAGATGTCGTGCTGGGCGCGCCCAAGGGGAAGGGAGTCTGCAAGGTTGACGACGAAGATGACATCCGAAGAGCCGTGAAGGCAGCGAGACAAGCACAAGGCTCAAGGAAGCAGCAGACGTGAGGCGAAGGAGGAGGTGGTGGCGGTGGTGGCGGTGGTGGTAGTTGGAGGCAGGACGAGGAACTTGCGGTTGTTGTTGTGGAGGAGGAGGAAGAGGAGCAGGATGAAGATGAGGTGGTGTTTGAAGGGGATGACCACAAAGGCAGCAAAAGAGCAAGGGAGGACACGTCTGCTGAGACTTTCCCATCTCCCTTCGGACATGTCTCCTTCAATCAAAGTGATCAGATTGCGTTCTTTGCTCAATCCAGATACTGACGCTGTCCGCTCTCGCTCTCCTCCTCTCCTCCTCCATTCCTTCCCTCCCCCCCGCTCCCATTTTCTCTTTAACCCATCTTCCTTCTTTGCCTCCTGCCTTCGTCCATCTTCGACTGAGCAGAGGGTCCAGAGGCTGCCCCTTCTCAGGTTGAGCAAGGAGCTGCGCAGGACCCGAATTTCTCGGGAAAGCTAAAACCTCGACAACAGACGAGGTAGGAATATGAAGTCACGCTGTCTCGCTCGAGCTCGTTTCTCCCTCCTCTTTTCCTCTCCCCCCTCCCCTCCTCCTCTAGTTCCTCGCACCCATTCCCTCCCTCTCCTCCTTGCTCATTGTCCTGCCCTGCCAGTGTGGCGAAGCGTTTCGGAATCTCCACGTTTGTGTACTCTCGTCGTCGACCATTCCATCCGCAGCGGCTCATGGAGCTGATCAAGCTGCTGCCCGTCAAGGTTCCTCCCTCCTCTCGCGCCTCCCCTACCGACTTTTCACGCAGGTTGACTCCGAAGGCAACGTCGTCGACAACTGGAAGCTGACCGGTTAGTCCCGATTCCCACCGCCTCCTCCTCATGGGGG